CCCCCACCACTTCGGGGCCCCCACCACTTCCGGGCCCCCACCACTTCGGGGCCCCCACCACTTCCGGGCCCCCACCACTTCCGGGCCCCCAGCCGCATCTTCCGGCGGCCGGGGCGAGGCGTGCTGCCGCACAAGACCAAGCAAGGCCCGGCCGCCCCGCACCGCCTCAAGGTGTTTGACGGCATCCCACCGCCCTACGACACCATAGAGCGGGTGGTGGTTCCTGCGGCCCCCAAGGTGGTGCGTCTGAAGCCCACGAGGAAGTTTGCCTATCTGGGGCGCCTGGCTCACGAGGTTGGCTGCAAGCACCAGGCAGTGAGAGCCACCCTGGAGGAGAAGAGGAAGGAGAAGGCCAAGATCCGCTACGGGAAGAAGAAACAGCTCATGAGGCTACGGAAACAAGCCGAGAAGAACGTGGAGAAGAAAACTGACAAATACACAGAGGTCCTCAAGACGCATGGACCCCTGGTCTGAGCCCAGTAAAGACTGTTAATTCCTCATGCTTGTCCTGACCTGCCCTCCTCCATCGTCGCCCTGGAATGTGCGGGACCCAGGGGCAGCAGCAGTCCGGGTGCCGCAGGCACCCTGGGGCATAGGAAGCTCGGAGCAAGGAAAGGGTCTAGTCACTGCCCGCCGAGGTTACTTGAAAGCACTCGGAATTGTGCAGGTGTGATTCATGTATGACCAATAGGAACAGCAACCAGTTACTATTAGCAAAAGGATCAGTAAGACTAACTGGAGAGGCCTTAGTTGTGAGTGGGGCATCTAACTTTCACCTGGTCATGCACTATACTCTGCAGCTGTTAGAATGTGCACGTGCGTGGGAACAGCATGAGCTTGTACAGAGGATATTTATAGAAGCAGACTACTGGGAAGATGGGCAACTTGGGTTACAGGCAATGCCCGTGCCCCCTCACCTGTGTTTTGTGAGCAGAGTCAAATAAATGACTTAAAAAAAAAAAAAAAAAAAAAAAAAAAAAAAAAAAAAAGCTACGGCTGACATTCTACTTAATGATAAGAAACCAGAAACTTTCCCACTAACATCAGGAGCAAGGCAAGGATGTTAAGGATATATAATCTATGTGAGGAAAACTACAAAACTCTGAGAACATTGATTTTTTAAACACTAAATTAATGGAGGCCAGGCAAGGTAGGTCATGCCTCTAATCCTAGCACTTTGGTAGGCTGAGGCAGGCAGGCTGGAACTCAGGAGTTCAAGGCCAGCCTGGGCAACATGACTAAACCCCATCGCTACAAAAAATACTAAAATTTGCCGGGCGTGGTGGCATATGCCTATAGCTTCATCTACTTGGGAGGCTGATGTGGGAGGTTGGCTTGAGCCTGGGAGGCAGAGGTTACAGTGAGCCAAGATTGCACCAGTGCACTGCAGTCTGAGTAACAGAGCCAGATCCTGGCGCAAAACAAACAAAACAAAACAAAACGATTAAATTAATGGAAATATATTCCATATTTATGGATAGGAAGTCTCAGTATTACCAAGATTTTAGTTCTTTCCAAGTAGATCTATAAATTCAATGCAATACCCATCAAAATCACAGCAAGTTATTTTGTGCATATCAATAAACTGATTCTAAAATTTACATGAGGCTCGCACCTGTAATCCCAGCAGCTTGGGAGGCCAAGGGGAGTGGATCACTGAGGTCAGGAGTTCAAGACCAGCCTGGCCAACATGGCGAAATCCCATCTCTACTAAAAATACAAAAACTGGCTGGGCGTGGTGGCAGGCACCTGTAATCTCAGCTGCTCAAGAGGCTGCGGCAGAATTGCTTGAAACCAGGAGATGGAGGTTGCAGAGCCAAGATTGGGCCATTTCACTCCAGCATGGGTGACGAGCAAAATTCCATCCCAAAAAATATAGATGTATATGGAGTATTATAAGAAAAACTCAAAGTCATATTTTTCAAAAGCTTCCCCTAAATGGTAGAGAGCCAAGAGACAAAGAATGGGCTGGGAAAGTCCAGCTTGGTAAGTAGGCGAGTTTATTAGGACTTACATGTGAGACAGCCCTGGCTGGCAACAGGGCAGCTTCAGAGATTTGAGCTGACCTCCCATCCCTTAGCTGTTTTTAAGCTAATTTTCTCGCTCTTTTCCTACTGTGTCTGTGGGATGGGACTGTTTTCCTTGATAGGCTCTTAAACACTCTCCAAGATTTTTGAGTTCTCAGGCATACCTTCTCCTCAGCTGGGCACCATGGCCTTGGCTTATTCCCTGGTCTTTAGGATTCAGGCAGCAGATGTACACCCTTAAGTAACCTGGCCATCGTAGGGAACCTGTCACACTACATGGAGAAACAAAAAAACCAGAATGACCAACACAGTCTTAAAGAAGAACAAAATTGGAGGACTGACACTGCCCAACTTCAAGACTTACTCTAACTCTGCAATGGTCAAGACGGTGTGGCATCAGAGAGACAAGGTTTCACCATGTTGGCCAGGATGTTCTCAATCACTTGACCTAGGGAGTCGCCCGCCTTGACCTCCCAAAGTGATGGGATTACAGGCGTGAGCCACCGCACCTGGCTGGTGGTAATACATATGGTACAGCCAGCCAGGCGTGGTGGCTCACGCCTGTGATCCCAGCACTTTGGGAGGCTAAGGTGGACCAATCACTAGGTCAAGCTATTGAGAACATCCTGGCCAACATGGTGAAACTTTGTCTTTAGTAAAAATACAAAAAAATTAGCTGGGCATGGTAGCACATGCCTGTAGTCCCAGCTACTCAGGAGGCTGAGGCAGGAGAATTGCTTGAACTCGAGAGGCAGAGGTTTCAGTGAGCCAAGATCGCACCACTGCACTCCAGCCTGGAAACAGAGAGAGACTCCGTCTCTAAAAACAAACAAACAAACAAAAAATGGTACAGCCACTTTGGAAGACAGTTCGGCAGTTTTTCACAAAACTAAACATATTCACACCATATATCCAGCAATCATTTTCCTTACTATTTATTCAAAGGAGCTGAAAACTAATGTCCAGACAAAAACTTGCACACGGTTGTTTATAGCAGCTTTATTCCTAATTGACAAAACTTGGAAGCAACCAAGATGTCCTTCAGTAGGTGAAAGGATAAATAAACTGTGGCAGATCCAGACAAGGATATATTATTTTGCACAAAATAATCAGGTGCTAAGAAGCGAGATATCAAGCTGTGAGAAGACACAGAGGAACCTTAAATGTGTTTTACTAAGTGAAAGAAGCCGATCTGGAAAGACTGTAACCTTTGTATGTAGCCTATTGTAAGATTCCAAATGTATGACATTCTGGAAAAAGCAAAAATAGGAAGGCAGCAAAAAGATCAGTGGTGGCCAGGAGTTAGTGGGGGAGGGAGGGATGAGCAGGTAGAGTACAGATTTTTAAGGCCAAGAAACTACTGTGTAGGATACTGTGATGATGGACACATGTCATTATACATTTGTCCAAATTCATAGAATGTACAACATCCAGAGTGAACCCTAACGTAAACTATGGACTTTGGGAGATAATGATGTGTCAGTGTAGGTTCATCAATGTAACAAATGTACCACTCCGGTGTAGGATGTTCATCATAGGGGAAGGCTGTGCATGTGTTGGGGTAAGGAGTATATGGAAACTCTACTTTCTGCCCAAGTTTGCTGTGAACCTAAAACTGTTCTTAAAAAAAAAACTAAAATCTATTTAAAAGGAAAAAAAACAAACAAACTTGCTGTACATCTACTGCTAATTCTGAACTGTTGAATGGGGACACTGTCATGGTAGTCACAGCAGGAGTCATCACCCCATCTTCTAAGAGAATAATACAGGAAAAAAGAGGAAGCATACAGGACAGATCAAACCGTGTGTCCCTGTGTGCATATTTGACATAAATCGCAAACCTCCAGTTCACCCCTCGGTCTCATGCAGTCAAAAACTCATGAGGGTCACTGAGCCCCAGAGCCTGGAGCAACAACACATTTTTTACAGAGAGAAAATTTTATTTTAGGATGAAATCCTAGCCAAGGCTGCTGGGGGCTGTGAAAAATAAACCCATAAAATCAAGGGTCCTTGGAACACTTAACAAGATTGCCACCTGATGGTAGGAAAACAATTTTATTGAGATTTCCCCCAGGAAACCGGTTTCTCCCAATCAAGTTGAAAGGCTGAGATCATCTTAGTAATGATAGTGGGTGACGACCAGAAGCAGCCCGTCTTCTTTTGACAGTGCTGCCTCTCCTGTGCATGTTAATTAACTCATCAATTACCTTCCCCAGGGTAGGAGAAGCTGAGGCACTCACAGAGGAGTCTCCCAGGGCAGGTCTTCCTGTCCCAGGAATGTCAAGAGCTCACTTACCTTCTCTCAAATGATTTGCCTCAGTGACTAACTAATGACTCCTAGGAACTGCTTATGGCTGCTGCCTGTGGCATTTTTCTCTGAAAGGCTAGTCTGATGGATAGCATGGTAGACTGCCAAATCAGTGATTTATGTTCACGGTGAAACCAGGACCTTCTGGCTCCCCTTCCTGGGCAAACAGCCTTTATCTGCAAAGTTTAGAACACCCTGGGGAAATATGAAGGGGAAATTGAGTACCTTCTCTTTATCTATAAACTAATTCAAAATTAGTGTGAGCTGTAGTTGTAAATCTCAGATTGACCTGTTCTTAGCTCATTATTTCTTTTATGCCATTTCATTTTACGTGATAACAAAAGTATCACACATTTAGAATTTATAGTTTGTAAAGTGCTCTCTTGTGTAACAGTTTGATTCTCACCAAAACCCTAGCAGATAGAAAAAGAGGGGTTACCATTCCCCTTTGAGTAAAGAGAACCTATGAGACAGAGGTTAAAGGACTCCCCCATATCAAA